ATTTTCCACAACATACCAGAGATCGTTATCAATTGCTTCAAGATGCATTCACATCCTATTCTTCCAGTAGGGGTAGTCCATCCCATTGAAGGTAGGACACCTAGTAGAGACCTTGATCATACCTGTGGTCGACATAACTAAAACTCCAGGCAGTTAAAGCAAAATCACACAAAACAAGGGAGTACCTTGCTCTGATACCAATTGAAAGTGCGTTATATCGACTAGAGGGGGGTGAATAGGCGATTTTTATGAATTCTTCACTGAGGAATTTGCAGGTGAGCAAATTCCTTAGCGAAGAACTGCTAGCAGCGGAATAAGTACTCAAAAGTAAACATAACATAACACAAGCATAGTCATCATGATGAAATGAAGACAGGCACAGAGTACAGAAAGCGTAAGCACATGATGAAGACAAACATACTGAAGAAATTGAACTAAGGAAATTGAGAAAATCTTCAGTCAAAGTCTTCAAGCACAGATATGAACAATCACACAACACAGTTATGAGGAAATGAAAGAGTTGAGGAAATAGAACCAATAAGCTTTGTGAACACAATGATTTGGTAGACCAGTTCCAACTATTGTCTCAGTTGTACAACTGGTTAGGGCAGCTAGGTATTTAAACCTGAGGACACACAGGCCCCGACACCCAGTCCTGAACACGCAGCTCAGGACACTCAGTCCTCACTGTATTCCCCTTGAGCTAAAGTCACACAGACCTCGCCCAATCACTCGTGGTAAGTCTTCAGGTGACTTCCGAACCTTCACAAACTTGGTCACTCAGCGATCCACAATTCCTCTTGGATGCTCTAGACCATGTTGCCTAACCGTTTGGAAGAAGCACAGTCTTCAAACATAACAAGCGTCGGATCCACGCAGGATCAATCTCTTTAGTGAAGCTCAATCACTTGGGGTTTGTAGGTGTTTGGGTTTGGGTTTTCCTCACTTGATGATTTTCGCTCAAAGTCCTCGGAGGATGGGTTGCTCTCGGATGAAAAGTGTCAGTTTCTCTCGGAGCAGCCAACCAGCTAGTGGTTGTAGGGGGCGGCTATTTATAGCCTAGAGAGCAGCCCGACATGATAAGACATAAATGCCCTTCAATGATATGACCGTTTAGGTGGATAGATATTTTGGGACAGCTGGCTCATAGCACAACAACGGTCGGAATTTTGAGTAGCAAAATCCTCAAGGCTATCATGTTCCTCACTGTGTAGGTAATCCGCACTGGCGAATTCCCAACTCCTTAGTCAGAACAAATTCCTCAGAGACCAGAAGAACTTCGTCTCTGTCACTGAAGAATATGACTGGACTGTATGAGATTTCCAATGGCTTCACTCGAAGGGATTGGTAGGTGTAGGATTTTGAGTTGAGCATCACATGGAAATTTTTTCTTAGTATTTCCTCGACCCCCTTTAACAGTACGGTGTTTCCTATGACTCAAGAAAGAGAAAATGAAACTACAAAAATAAAAGTCTTCATGCTTCATGTTCCTCGAATGAATACCAAGTCTTCAGGGTCACACCAATTTCTTCACTTTCAAAGTCTTCAGAAATCCAAAGTCTTCAGTCGAAGAACTTCATTTTTAGGGGTCGACTTTCTCTGTAAATATTAAACTCCTCATAGACTTATATACCTGTGTACACTCACAAACGCATTAGTCCCTTAACCTATAAGTCTTCAATACACCAAAATCACTAAGGGGCACTAGATGCACTTACAGTACCTCTCTCAGAAGAAGGACTACTCAGGGGATAGGGCGATCAACGCCTGAACGAAATGGCACAACTAAAAAATGTCAATAGAAATGGCGTCCCATACATTAAAAACCTCAAAATAATTGAAGAGTATAACTGGGGGACCAAAGATGGAAATAAGTTTTTTGAGAAACCAAGGAAGTACTTAAGTTTGAGGAAGGCCACTGAGTGTAAATAATACCCAATTACTAGCACACTTTTTTCTCTTCCTTCAACACAATGGAAAGGGACATGTGGCATATCAAGTCGCTTACCCCTTCTCTGGTGCTTACTGTATACTCTCAAATTCCCAATGTAGACATCAACTAATGCATTTCAGAAAGAATTCGCTTATGACATCTCACTGGCATGTCAATTATAAGAGAAACCAAATGTTTCAAGGCTTGGCATGTGAAAAAACCCCGCTAGTGTGGAACCACTGAGATCGTTGTGTGTCAGGTTCAGTTTTTGCAAATTCACTAACTTCTCCAGATTCGAAGGGATCACAATCGACAATGAGTAACTACCCAGATCAAGAAGTTCATGTAGCTGAACAATATGTTGTTATCACTTAGTATTTGCCGCTGACAACTCATTCTTGCTTATATAAAAAATGTTTGATAACCGAGCTTGCCAAATGCCCATCGACATCGTCCCCAACATGGCTGGCCCTAAGCCATGGTAAGAAGGACGATGGCCTATGACCCATCCCAATACATCTATCTATATAAAATATATTACGAAAATATGTTTGGTGGAATATAACAACAACACTTCTATAAATAAATATCTTTACTGATGGATTGTAACTCTATCAACCATGACAACTAGTTTAGTTCTTTAGGGAAACAAGTTAAGTTAGGATTATAGGGTATTGCCCCTCTCACATGTTCTGTTAGAGAGTAGGGGGAAGATGCCCCCACCCCATGTCACCACAATAGTATACAAAATTTTCTCACTAAGCCCGTCAAGATGCTATTGTCTGTCCCGACCCCCCATAAGCGAGGTCTTGGAGAAGTCTACTTGTCATAGGTTGAAATTGTTGCCAAACTTTGCCACAATTGGCTCCAGATGGCAAGCTTTTGGTCTTGCAAGCTAGCTATGCTACCAAATCCCGCTGATAAGGCATTGCCATTTATGGGCAAACACATGAAATTGATGCATTTCCCCGAGTTTGACAATATCCCGGTGGTATTTTATTCCCGGTGGGCGCCAGGTTGTTTAAGCTGACACAGACACCTGCCACCGAGAGGTCACCAGTGAAGTGGTTCCCTTTGACCCGCACCCAAAGGAGTAGCCCCTTCTCTCATGCTTACTTCATAATACCAAATTCCCAATGTAGACAACAGTTGATGCATTTTGGAAAGCATTCCCTTATGACATCTCACCATCAAGTCGATTGTAAGAGAAGTCAATTCATTCAAGGCTTGTCATGTGAGATAACCCTGCTAGTGTTGAAACACTAATATCGTTGTGTGACAGGTTCATTTTTTGCATATTCACCAGCTTATCAAGATTTGAAGGGATCACAACCTATGATGAGTTACTAATTAGATCGAGAAGGATGTGTAGCTGAACCAGTATGTTGAGATCACTTTGTATCTGCCCCCTAACAACTTGTTTTTTCTTATATTAAGATATGTTTAATAACCAAGCTTGAAAAATACCGACCGACATAGTCCCCAACAAGGCCATCCTAAGCCATGGTAAGAAGTACGATGGCCTAGGACCTATCTATAAGGGCCCAATACATCTACATACAAAAAATACATTACCGAAAAATGTTTGGGGAAAGATAACACCAACACTTATACAAATAAATGACTTTACTAATGGATACTAACTACGCCAACCATGACCAAATACTTTATTTTTTTCAAGTGGGATTAGATGGGCTTGAACCCCCTCCTATGCCTTATGTTAGAGTGTGTGTGTGTGTGTGTGTGTGTGTGTGTGAGGGGGCCGGGGGGGGGGGGTATTCCCCCATACCCCGCGTGACCACACTATATTTCTTTGGATGTTATTTATATTGGAATACATGTATCCCATATCCATCATTTCTATCTTATACTCACATATAGATAGTGTATTAAGACATTATTTGATAGTGAAACTTACATTTCCTATATTTATGCCTTTATAATGACTTTATAGCATGCATTATATACATGTGGAAGTTCTTCTTTTACCTCATTAAGTTGTTGGGTCCATTACGGAAAATAGACTTGTGTTTCTGGTTGTATATGCACCCTATATGGGGATTTTTTTTAAAAAAATATTTTACTAAAAAGTCAAAATAGGTAAGAACTATTTTGACAAAACACTTGACTTACTTTTGCACTAGTATATAAATTTTCACGGAAAAAAACAAAAGTTGACCTTACAGCAAAAAGGAGACAAAGTTTATTTGCTATTATAGGTCACTATTCACACTACTTTAGCCAAAAATTTATCTTTTTTGAAAAGAAGTCAATGGGATATTTTCCTTTTGTGGATTTTTTTCTCACGAGTACAATATAAGGTCAAGTTTATTTTAAAAATATTTTCAGAAATTTTTGACTTTTTGTTGAATTACTTTTTTTTCACATAAGGTGTAGATGTCTACATAGACCATAAATCCTCCTCCGGTCTATTACACCCTATTTGCACTAGGCCCTTCAAGATGCTATTGCCGGCCTTTATCCCCGTAAGTGTGTTCTCATACAAGTCTAGTTGTTGTAGGTTCAAATTGCCACCCAAATTTGTCGGATTTATTTAAATATCTATCAAATTTGTTTGGATGGCCGCAGGACATATGTGTATAGCTTCGGATGGCCGGCTTCCGTATTAGTGTTCGTGGATTTGTCCCTCTGTCTGTGGACGAATGCGGTGTCTGGTTTGCGGGTCAGCGCTAGAGATGCCCTCGGAAGGGTGAGGGAGAAGAAGACTCTAGGAAGCGGGACCCACGCCCAGCAAAGGAGATATAGTCTTGACTCTTGAATAGGGTGTGCCTATGACAGTGGGGCCTATGCAAGCTGGGTGGTCGTTGCTAAATGGGCGCCGTGCGCTGTGGACTGGTCATGCTGTATGAGAAATCTGATTAGCTCTCCTCCCTTCCTCTGCATCCCCACCCACCTACCGTTCTCCTTCCTCACCTCTGACCTCGTCTCTCAGCTGCTCCCAGTTCCGCTCCTGTACAGTCCGATACTTATAGGCATCAAAAACAGAGCTGCTTTCAAAAGAAAAAAAAACAGAGCCAGCTAAATTACCGCAGAGAGAGAGCCAGACATGGGCGGTGCCGTGAAGGTGTACGGGGTGGGGGCGTCTCCGTTCGTGGCGACGGTGCTCTTGTGCCTGGAGGAGACGGGCGCAGACTACGAGCTCGTCCCCCTCGACATGGCGGCGCGTGAGCAGAGGGCCGAGCCACACCTCTCCCGAAACGTACGTCGGTTCTGCTGAGCTCAACCATCAACCACAGCACTCTACCTTCTTAATCCCATTTTCCCGTGACAAGTGTTATTAGTCAGGTGCTCTAATCTTCTATCTCGTTCCATTTTTCCATGTTAAGTTTTCTTGTATGCTTCAATCTTGCAGCCTTTCGGGAAGATCCCAGTGTTAGAGGACGGAGAGCTGACTCTCTTCGGTATGAAATTCTCACGCTCATCACAAATCAGACCATAGCATCTTAATCAAAACCTCACTTTTACAAAAGATGATTAGATTTTTCTTTTGCCCTATCAATTAATCCGCACGTCGGTAATACGATCTCAGAATCGCGCGCGATTTCTCGGTACGTGCTCCGCAAGTACGGAGGCACCAACCCCACCACCGATCTTCTAAGGGAATCCAGCCTCGAGGAATCAGCCATGGTGGACGTGTGGACGGAGGTGGAGGCCCACCAGTACCAGCCGGCCATCGAACACATCGTCCAGCAGTGCGTCATCCTGCCGTTCATCGGCGGCGCGCGAGACCAGGCCGTTGTCGACGAGAACGTGGGGAAGCTGGAGAAGGTCCTGGACGTGTATGAGGCGCGGCTGTCGACGCACGCGTACCTCGCCGGAGATTTCTTCAGCCTCGCCGACCTCGTCCACTTCGGTATCACCTACTACCTGGTGGCCGGAACCGAGTACGCCACGTTGCTGGAGTCGCGCGCGAACGTGTGGGCGTGGTGGGGGCGGATCATGGCCAGGCCGTCGGTCAAGAAGGTGGCGCCGTTAATCCACCTCTGGTTGAAGCCATCTTCGTCTGCTTAAGTTCAATATCGTAAATTCGTATGTGTATCTTCATTGATTAATCTGCTGCGACTAGCTACCTCAAATTCAGGATACCTTCGCTCTTACGAAGGAACATTCTGTTTCCACATTCCTAATCGCAAGTACAAAAAGTCTAATCGAGCAGCCACCTGGCCTGCCCTGCTCCCTCCTGATCCATAACCAGAGAGCCGCCCCCGCCTCTCTCCTCGACCGCCCGATCCGATCTAGGGCTTTGGACCGCCGGCGCCGCCTCTTTCCTCACCGCCGCCATAGCTCCGCGGGGCAAAGCCCAGACAGGGGATGACGGCGGTGGCGGGGTCTTCGTCCATCCCTGCTTCGGGATGCGGTTGCGGTGGAGTGCGCGGGTGTCCTAGACGCGTGCGTCGTTCGGCGTCAGCGGCGCAACAGTGAGGGTCCCTCCGCTGTCGATGGCTCACCTAGCCTGGGTGACGGTTTCGGGCAGTGGTGTGCCTCTGGTCGTGCGGTTTTCCGGTAGCAGATGTCACTCATGGACGTGCTGGATGATGGAGAAGGTCGATCTAGTGGTCCAGTCGGGGATGGGCGTGAATTTGCCAGCGAAAGCTTGGTTCGGTCTTGACCAGAACCGTCAAAGTCGGTGCACGTGGGAGTCATTATCTCGTTGGAGACGTTGTAGGCAAGGTTCCTGCGTTGTCAACCCATGAGGGCTTCATCTTTAGGGTTGTACATCGACTGGAGGGATAATGTTTGGCTTGGCTAAGCCCATGCCTTGTGCAGTGACCAAGGTGGAGCACTGTGCCACCTACATTATTAATGACGGCGAGTCTTGGCGGCAAGGTGCACCGGGGTCTCGATGCCGGATATCGTTTGGTGGGCGTGCATAGGAGGCTAGCGTTGTCCAACGTCGTGGTGGTGTCGGCAGAAGGGTCTGACAGGATCAGTGCATTGATTTCTACTGAAGATGAAACCGTGGAAGAAGGCAATGACAAATTCTACAACATGCGCATGCGGTGCACGCTGAGGGTCTACTAGCGGTTGGTGCTCCCAGCTAGTCAGCAGGCGGCTTGGTGAGGCCATCGAATTTCTTTATGTGTGCGTGAGGTCATGGCACATAATGAATTTTATAAGGGCATCTTCAAGTCGGACCCGTAAACCTTCCGCAACCGTCCAGACCATGTTGCTCGGACCGCGAAAGCCATCCAACGCCCTGTATCGATCCACATGGTGGTCCAGACGCAGTTTCTCCCGCAAACCAGAGACAAAAAATGGGAGAGGTTTGCAGGAGTCCGGACCGCTCCCAAGCCCGCTTCTGACCGCCTTGGCCCACCAAAACCCCATCCCACGCGCCCTCCTGCCCGGCGCCAGCTGCCCGCATTCATACCGCTGTAGAGCACGCCGCTCCGCATTGAAGACGGCTCAGGGCGGACGCGGCCTCTCACTGCCTCTGTCATTGAAGCGGCGCGCCGGCCGAGGGCGCCGCATGCTGCACGCCCGGCTGACCATGCCTTCTCGCCGCATTCATACGCCCCCATTAACCCCACGTGGAAGCCACATGCCTGTTCATGAGCGGGCCGGCATTATATGCAACGTCGGACGAGCTCCTACCGTCCGCCCTCTATTTAAACGAGGGCAGACACCGGGCAAGAACCACACCCCTTCGCCGCTTCCCCAATCGCCTTCTCTACCACTCTTCTGATGGCTTCCGAAGAGCAGTTCTCCGGCATAAAAGCTGACTGGGTAGCCCGCCGAATACGAGCATGGCAGCTCGCTACTCCACCTCCTGCGCCTCACCCGACGGAGCAAGTTACCGTCCCAAGCCGCCGCGTGGTTCAGCAACTTGCCGCTCCAAGCCCACTCGATGAGGAGTGGCCAGTTGCTCCACGCCGGCATGGCGGGGAGCACGACGACACGGGCGTCATCGATGCCATCAACGACCCCCCCTCCCCCCGTGTCTGCGGCCACGCTCCCCGTGCCTGCGACCGCGCCTCTCGTGCACGCGACCCGTGCCTACGACCGCACCATGCAGGCAGATGTAGAAGCCAAGTGCGCGAAAAGCGATGAGTCGGTGACCGGCGCCTCCGCGTCCGCCGCCATCATCGACGAGAAGTAGAACACGGAAGTCCACCACCGCTTGGGTCCCACAAAGGCCACCACCTAGGCGACACCGACGTACACACACTAGTGTAGAATAGTCTAGCTACGGCGTGCCAAAACTTCCCTTGCTGGCATAGGGCTCCAACGCCACCAATATGACGCCAGTGAATTTTTAGTGGTGTCGTTGGCACACACGTCAGCAGCGTTGTGAGTATTGATGATACTGATGGTGTGCCACGTGACTAACCCCAGCAATATATTGTGTTAGCTATGGCATTAAGTGTGTTCCAACACCAACAATTAGAATTTTTTTGTTAATAAAAAAATATACCAAGCAATTTAAACCTAGTATATATACAACCATTTAAACTTACTTACATTCAGCTTCACAAAAAAGTTAATACTTCTAGTGATAACTTCAACTCCATAAACAATACTATACTAGCTAGCTAGAAGCAAAAGTGATCAACTTCGACAATGTCTCCAAACTACCTACATATGCATTACATCTCTTTGTGAAAAGTGATCTTCATCTCACGTAACTCTTGTTCCTATTGCTCTCCCCTCCTTTCTGTAATGGACTTTTAGGGTCTTTAGTTGCACCCTCTCGTCCTTTTACGAGCCGTATGTCCTTCTTCAACTCATCTATCTCGGCGACCAGTTTATCCTTCTGGTCTTTGAGCTTCAGTTTCTTATCGTAGTAATCCGAGTTCTCATTGATGATCTGATCCCTCTCATTCCACAGGGAGTTATTCAACCCCCTGAGGGTCCTCACTCTACTCTGTTGTGATGTGACAAGCTCGCGACTGAGCATGTCCACGTCACATAACTGCTGCTCGACAGGTGCTGGAGATGGGTTTCATACATACTCCTGGCAAGTTAAATATTTGAAATCATCAATAATGAATGGTTAGATATATGTATATATACATGTGTTTGCAATGCTCATGGGTGTTTTTGTAATCTTACCTTGTTGGTGCTCGCTTCGCCTTTGTCCACTTCATCATACGCCATGAAGTTGCATGAGGACTGTTAGTAGCTGTTCCAGCTACTCATGGCTGCAACTACACAATAATAACAAGTCGGGATCAGATTATCTAACACATGCCAGTTTGTACACAAACAACCTTGTTTAAAGATGATGGCATAAGTAGAGTGCATCGTTTCGGTGCTCGGGATCATGTGCACCAATTTTTTTGAGTGGTAGAAAATTTATTACGTGAGGTCCGCTCCAATTTTCAGATCATTTAGACATCTGAGTAGCTCTTAGCAAAAAAAAGACAAATCGGGTCAAAACAGTGCGTGAACAGTAAACGTTTTTACAAACCCTGAATTTGTCTTTTTTGCCGAGAGCTGCTCAGATGTCCAAATGACTTGAAAATTGGAGCAGAGCTCACGTATCAAATCATCTACCATACAAAAAAATGATTTTTTTAATTTTTCTTGTATTTGTTTTGAATTTTTCGTCATTGCGGGTGCAGCTGAGCCTGGGCTCAAAAGTGGATTATCGACATAAGCATAAGTAGTTTTGAACAACAACAATATAGCACTATCGATATCTTCACACAATCATATGGATGAAGTGTAGTATATATCTACACAACCTTTATTGAACAACCTTTATTGGCATAGCATAATTATTTTGTCAACTACACTAAAAATGTCTAAGTACACTCACTTGGCATAGCATAATTTTTTTGGCGCTGACTTGGGAATGCACTAGAGCAAACACAATGTGACACTGATTTGGCAATGACTTGGAAATGCACTAGAGCAAACACTAAAGTAAAAAATGTCAACAATGTGGCACTGATTTGGCAACGACTTGGGAATGCACTAGAGCAAACACTACATAAAAATGTATCAACTAAAATTATCTTCCACTGCCAAACAAACACATTGTAGTTTCTAATTAAATTTGGCCTACTCACTCTAATTAAAATTGGCTGACTCACTCTAATTCAATTTTGCCTACCATTCTAATTCAATTTGGCCTATTCAAATCACTGAAACCCTAGCGATGCAAATCAAATCAAAATGAAATCCTAGCGTGAGAGGGAGATTAGCGGTTACCTCCGTCGTCGTCGGTCGTTTCCGCCGTCGCCGCCGCTGAACCCTAGTAGAGGGGGATGAACCCTAGTCGTCGGTCGTTTTTGTCGCCGCCGTCGCTGAAACCCTAGCGGCGATGCAAATCAAAACGAAATAAAATCAAATCAAATCGAGCGGCGAGAGAGAAAGAGAGAGGGGGAGATTAGCTGTTACCTCACCACCGGAATCAGAGCGACGACATCGACAGAAGAAAGGGAAACGAGAGAGGAAACACAGAGATAGAGAGAGAACGGGCGCGGTAGAGAGAGAGGGAGAGTACTGGGTGAGGTGGCCATTGCCCCCTTGTTTTTTGAGCTTCGCCCAATATGCAAAAAATAATAATTTAGCGCAAACATAAAAATTACTTACTTAAATAAAAGCAATACAACATTTCTACTATACTAAAAACAAATAATAGAGTAATATTATTAAAATAATAGTAGAGTAATAATAATATAACAACACAATATTCTTAATTTAATAAAAAAAATTAAAATACTAAATATATAAATTAAAATTAAAATAAATTTTAAAAATGATCACCAGCTACAAACAGTATTATTAAAAAATGTTAGAATTTAAAAAATGATCACTACCTACAGATAATACTAAATAGCAATAATATAAATTCAGCACAATATTATTAAAAGAATGTCAGGATTTTCAATTAAAATAATAATTAAACATATAATATAATATAAAAATGATCACCACCTGCAAACAAATAAAAAGGAAAAAAGTTGAAGTCTCAAAATATAATATAATAATGTTCACATTGATAAAATAATATTATTAAACACTTTCTAATCAATTAAGAATAAATAGTTATAAATAAAAGTAATTCCAGAAATAAAATTAAACTATAATATAATATAAAAATGGACCCCACATCATATAGTAATGGCGTGGCTACCCATGTTACGCCACAAAACATAATTGTTCTGGCGTTCTTTGTTATGCCACGCCCGCACTATATTACGCCTTATGTTTTCTATGGGACCCATATACCTGTGACGTTCAACTATTATCCAGCGCCATCACTATATCCCTAGTAATGTCAGACCAAATAAGCCAACATCATCACTATTTGAAAAAACTAGTGCCGGCGTTGGTTAAAAATGGCGCGCCGCCAATGAAAATTGTGGTTATCACTTTTTCCACTAGTGACAGCTGGTGTCTTGCCCGGTTCTTCTCTTTCGAGGACCTCCACCGATCCCACATGGGCTTCATAGAAGCAAAGGCAGTGCCTCCCTCTTCCGCTGAAGCATCAGCCGGGGGTTCCACTCCGATGAGTGGTGGGAAAGTGAGCCATCCTTTGCACTGAAGCATATACCTCTGGGGCTCCCTGCAGTCCGATGATCGGGCCGCAGGACATGAGGAAGACAAAGGTATCTGTGGGCGGAGATTTAGATTAAGTATTATTATACCTTCAGAGCCAGACTAGCATCATTGATATAAAATGTACCAAATCCGTCATGTTTATGTTAAAATCTGGCTTTTTTATATAAAATCCGTCATGTGCATGAAATCCGGCTGTTTTTGCATGAATTTCGTCCGGTTGGTTTGAGTTGTTGTGAAAATATATGTGGCTAGCGTTGGATGTCGACCTCCCGCATTTGTGTCCGCGGACTGGTCCCTCCTACCCGCGAACGGATGCGGGAGATTTTTTGCGGGTGCCGTTGGAGATGCCCTAAGTAGGACCACCGTTTTGCCGAAAAGGTGTTGTTGAGTTGATATATGTATTCTTTTTGTAATGCCTTGTTAAATAATGTAATAAGGATGGTTGCATGCATCGTGTGATGCAAAGCCCGGTGTAATCATTCTTTTCTAAAAAAATGTATCTTCATTTCATGTGTAGACGTATAAACCCACATATGAATGGCGGTTGCGTTTTATAACCATGCTCAAGGCATCACGCACGGTTGCGTTATTCTAAGGGCCCGCTTGGATTGCCGTTTCGCCGATATATTTATTTTACACATGTAACTGTTTTCATGCGTATCAAACTGGGCACGCATAAAATCCGGGTGGAAAAAAAACGAAGGTGGAAGGTGTGCTTATTTTTTTGGATGGAAGGCACCGACCTGTCCTGTTGTCAGGCTCAAGGCGAATTGGTCATCCTTGTTACAATCTAACCTCTTTCTTGTTCAGCGAATTCGACCAACACCTTAACTTATCTCATATTTTTTGTTGCATGTCCACGCTTATTCAGGCCGGATCACACGAGAGGCCTAGAGTATATCTCTCGGGATCACAGGAGCAAATCTCATCCTGTTTGATCATATTTCACGGCATGGGTATAGACAAACCCGGAACTTATCTTTGTAACTACCCAGTTATGGAGTAGCATTTGATCGGCACAAAGCAAGTCTGCAACCATCCCAAGTCCATGCACCACTTCAGATCTTAGGACACATAATGTATGTTGTAGTAGAAACTCACAGATAACTTATCGTCGCGTCTCGTAGTTGGTTCTGTCCGACTCAGACCTTCTGGACTCGGATCTGACTATGTCGAATCCTACAAGATCTTTTCGAGTCCATATTAACCGGCTAGCATTCAACGCTACATGGTTAGGGAGACCGGACCATCCACTGCATCATATGCTAGTCTAGTTGGTTGCACGTCCACACAGCCGTTTTGACTAGAGACCATTTAGCAAAGTCATCATGGAATGCATAGTATCACAAAAAAAGTCGCGTACTTGTTGATACACATCATTGATAATGACCAAAGACTATATTGATTCATAAACACATAAAAAATATCATCATACATGATTGCTTCTAAGGCATATCTCCAACACCGACGGCGTGGTCTGAACATCATGCTGCGCTGGTCGGAGCACATCATAGCAACCCCTTGGCGTGGTCGTGTCTCAGACGAACCGCTGGTTGTAGCTCCGCCATGGATGGTTGCAACTCGTCGTAGCAAGGTCGTAGCATCACCATGGTGCTCTTGTGGCTCGGGGAGTACCGCCGTTTGCAGCTCTGCATCGCCAACATGTTCCGTGCCTTTTCCAACATCACCATATGTTGGTTCTAGCACCCCTTCACGTTGGTTTCTGCACATCCGATCGTTGTCTCTCGTCTCCCAACGTAGAATCGCCTCCGCCACGCGGTAGGGTGGTCACCCTGGCTCGCGGTAACCCCACCATAGCAGTGATCATTTGCGAGGAGGGGATTGGAGTGGATTTGGGCCCTATGATATTTTTTTCTAAAAGGAAGGGCCCTATGATATGTGGAAGGTAGGAGAGCCATGGCGGAGCTGTGGATTTGATGTGTGGCTCGCCTGAGGAGCAAAGTTTTTTGTGCGCCAGCGAGCCGAACCTAAGAGAGACGTGTTGAGAGATGTGAGGTTGGGCATGAAGGGCGGCGGGGAAGAGACGCGTGTGCAACAGAAAAAGGATAAGGCAAGAGGTATGTGGTGGTCGGTGCATGGGCCCCATAGAGCGACATGGCGAGCATGCGAGCGACCAGCACATGCGCCAGATCGGCCGCCTGATTTATAACATTACACGTAATGTAATGTCCATATCAGGATGAACAAATTCCTTTTTTTTTGTTTGATGATAGGATGAACAAATTCATTTAGAAGGCAATGCAGTCTATCTTTTTTTTTTAATGCAGTCTATCTAACTCTGCCAACATCTTGGAGAGCTTCACTGTATACGAAGTCACAATTCCTTGGGTAGGAAGGAAGCTCGAATTATTGAACAAGTCAATCAAGAACAAAAGGAAAATATCACTAGGTACTAGGTAGAAGACCATAACCACACCAAATCTTCCCGGCGACCAGATCACGAGAAGAGTATACTAGTCTATTACTCCGGCCATACCATAATATAAAAACGTCTTTTATACTAGTGTAGTGTATAAAAAAGGGACACATTGTTTTGGTGTTTGGGTTCAGAGAGCCCGTGTTAGATACAAGATGCTCAAATGCTTAATGGTCGTGCAAAATTTTATGAAGTTTGGGCATCCGAGGAGCTCATGGCAAAAAAATAAAATTCTGGCGGGTCGGGAACATTTTAAAACAGTGATGTGCATGTCCTAATTTATCTTTTTTTTTATCATGCACTTCTCGAATGTCCAAACTTCATCAAATTTTGCACGAACATCACACACATGCACATCTTACTTGCAAAAAAAATTATTTATTTTTTTTCCTATTATTAATCATTTTACTGTTTATTGAGAAAATGGATATTCGATGAAGAACATTGTTATATTATGGGACGGAGGAAGTACCATTTGGAGTGAGAAAGCAAATCCCATAAAGGACCACTATTTGGATATATTATCGTATGAATTTAATTATGGACAAAGTCACAATTCCTTGGGCAGGGAGGAAGCTCGATTCATCAACCAATTCAAGGACAAAAGGAAATTATCACTCGGTTGACCATAACCACACCAAATCTTCCCAAGACCAGATCACGAAAATTGTATAGTACCGTCTACACTATTTGGTTATATTATCTTCCTCTCAATCACTCCCATCACATGTACTATAAGTTATGCTGGTCAAGGTCTGCTTAAGCACGCACTAATTAAAAAACAGAGCTGCTTAATTACAGCTCTGTGTGTGAGAGAAAGAGGGAAGCTGCGTGGGTGAGTGAGAGGGAGAGAGAGATGGGCGGTGCCGTGAAGGTGTACGGGGTGGCGGCGTCTCCGTTCGTCGCGACGGTGCTGCTGTGCCTGGAGGAGGTCGGCGCCGACTACGAGCTCCTCCCCCTCGACATGGCTGCGCGGGAGCAGAGGACCGAGCCCTACCTCTCTCGGAACGTATGTAGAAAGAGAGACAGTTTATAATTTGATTTGAGTATGTTTCTATCTCGCTCCATTTTCGTATGCAAGTTTTCATACGATTCAATCTCGCAGCCTTTCGGCAAGATCCCGGCGTTGGAGGACGGGGAGCTGACTATATTCGGTATGAAATTCACATACTCGCTCACGAACCAATTCATAGCAGCATACAAACTGTAATTAGATTTTCAATTGATCCACACACTGGTGATATTACCTCAGAATCGCGCGCGATTTCTCGGTACGTGCTCCGCAAGTACGGAGGCACCGGCGCCACCGATCTCCTACGGGCATCCAGCCTCGAGGAATCGGCCATGGTGGACGTGTGGATGGAGGTGGAGGCCCACCAGTACCAGCCGGCCATAGCCAACATCGTCCGGCAGTGCGTCATCCTGCCGTTCATCGGCGGCGCGCGAGACCAGGCCGTCGTCGACGAGTACGTCGGGAAGCTGGAGAAGGTCCTCGACGTGTACGAGGCGCGGCTGTCCAGCTCGCCGTACCTCGCCGGGGACTTCTTCAGCCTCGCCGACCTCGTCCACTTCGGCTTCGCCTACTGCCTCGTGGCCGGCACCGAGTACGCGACGCTGCTGGAATCGCGCGCGAGCGTCATGGCGTGGTGGGGGCGGATCATGACCAGGCCGGCGGTGAGGAAGGTGGCGCCGCTAATCCACCTCGGACTGAAGCTATCTTCGCCAGCATAAGTTGAATACCGTGAATTCAGTTTATATATGTATTTCAATTGGGTTTTATTATTTTTCATGTCTAGGGACACGTTGAGAAATAAATGTTTGTTCATATATATAAGTAGTACTTCCTACGGAAAAAACATAAAAACATTTAGATCACTATTTTAATAATATAAAGGCTTTTATATTTCTTTATGGAGAGAGTGCTACATATAAATAAGACTAGCAAAAAAAGTGAGGTGCACTAAACTCATCATCGAGTCTGACAGTATAATGGCGTTGGAGGCTATCTCTCATCCCAATGCTTATATTCGAACTGATGTTTCAATCATTACAAGCCATGGAGTTGCTAGTATCAGTCTTGTCCACTAGCAGAGAAGCAAATATTGCCGAAAAAGAATTTCCTCCACGTTTTATATTATAAATCAAACATCACCACATATCTTAGCGAGCTGAATAAACACACACCATCATGACACACATCGAACACATCCAAGTCTAGATACAAAGGTGCCGAGCACCATCACATCACTCGGACACAACCAAGCAAACATAATATGAGCTACGACGAACCACTTGGAGCCACCGAGGGGGTGAGATGGACATGACGAAGCAAGGACTCCAAGACGGTGCCTCCCAGAAGGGCACGACCACGGATAGCCGCCACCGTCCGATCCGCAGATCAAGTTTTCACCCGGAGCAACGCAGGGGGTGGGAGCACCACGACGGAACCTTCAAGAAGGATACGACGTCCACGGACGCCGCCACCGACGGCCAGAAACTGGGCAAGTGATGAACCCCGGTGCTTGCACCCCGCCGACACACCCTTGCTCCGCCAACCACCCACAGCCACGTCCCCCCGCAAAACCATGGCTGCCCGCCCGCACCTGGGACGCAGGTTCAGCCCACGAACGCCACGCCTCCCGTCGCCAGGGCCGCCGCCCAACATCTATACACCCCCAAAACCATCCAAAGAGATCAACTTTGCGCCAAAAGAACACCACTGACCGACGAATCGCAACATACATCCTGCCTTGAACATCACCAGAGCTGCGACGGCCAACACGCGGCCGGGGAAAGGGGCGGACGCATCCGGACCGGCACACCCCTGTGCCAGTGACGGGGGCCCAAGCACGTCGGCGCCGCCCATCCCTCCAGCCAGCCTCCCCATCGGACACACCCCTGTGCCACCCCACCTCGGCGGCCGACACAGCACGACGCAAGGCCACCGACGCAGACCCGACCACCGACAAGGGGGACCCCAAGCATAGCCGCTGAACGCCAAGAATACTCACCGGGAAGCCCATCTGCCCTGTCGTCGTCGTCCAGCCAGCGGGACGACTGGATCCCGACCAGCACGCCCACCAGCCACCGCCGCTGCGCCTCCACCACCACCAGCCGAGGCCACGGTAGGGGCGGACGCCCGCAGCCCACGCTATCCACGGCCCTCGCCGGCAGGGCCCAGATCTGGCCAAACGCCGCCGTCGGAGCCCTCCGCGCACCACCTCCGCTGCAGCCCCTTTACGCCGCCGCCCACAACCCGCGGCGCCGCCGCCAGCTGCCGCCGCCACGCCGCCGCGCCCCGAGCGGATATAAGAGCTGACTGCCTGGCAAAACACTATTTTTGCATTAATAAGTTTGAATCTTGGAAATCAAATATCCTTGACTTTATTCTCCATCGGTATGTAAATGACCTTGCTATTATTTGATTAACAAAATTGTTATGATCAAAACTATATATAATTAAGACTAGCAAAAGAGTTCATGCGTTATAACGGAAAAAGAGTGTCCCTAATCCAATAACCATGATTCAAGACCCCAATAGATCAACTTTCATTATTTCAACATGACATGCCATTTGTGTTGCCGCTTATCCTTCTTTCCACCTTCGTCGACGGTGGCCTCAATGCTCACACAGTCATAATGTGTTTGAATGTAATCAATCCTAAGACATCTCTCTCGGCATAAGATGAGAAATCTGCTTTGTTTTTCACCCCGCGAGGTTTTGCTGAGGCATGCGTGTGTGGCCATAGATGATTTCTTTCGTTCTAATCTCAGTAGGTCCACGTATTTTATATTAACATGACATCCCATCCTTTCCACCCTCGCGACGATGACCTTAGTGCTAACACAGTCACAACGTGTTTGAATATGGGCAATCCTAAGGTCTCTCTCTCTCTC